GAGAGAGAGAGAGAGAGAGAGAGATAAGAGCCAGAAAAACAGTGACAGACTTTCGGCCTTGTTTGCATCTCTCTGAGTACACATATTTACTCATAACTGTCACATTTCTCTAAGTGCTTACTTACACCGGAGAGTGAAAGCCACACTATCAGTAGGCTGTACCTGCTTCTGTTCAGATTACTTCATAATAAGTACAAGGCTTTAAAACGCAGGGAAACTGAATACATTTTGAAGCCAAATCTTCGTTAGTTTTAGTAAGGTTTTACGGCGCTCGCAACTGCATAAGGTCGTATGGGCGCTAAGGGTGGATGTCAACAGAGAAGTTCATATGGGGAATCAGACTTAGACTGCTCACCCCTCTAGCCTCAACAGCACAAAGTCTCCTTCGACTATCAAGGCACTACGGTAATAGCAGTTCACAAGAGAGTGACAAACAAACAATAGAAGCGGAGGAAAAATGACGATAGAAAAGATGAGGAAAGAAAAAGCAGCAGTTCCCCCTATGTTGTTCCGGTACAGTATGAGTATGACATCGATGAATCAGTCCCAAGGAGTACTTTATCGTACTCCTTGATCAGTCCATTTACAATTCTACTATGCTTCAGAACAAATCTTCAACAAAGGTTAATGTGCGAATTTGTATAGAATGAACGCCTCTTTTAACACCGTATGGCTATCTTAATCGGGGGCACCTCCAAATTTAACGCTCATCTCCGATAAAATGGTGTCAAATGGGAAGGGAGCCTTTAAAACTCCCCAAAAGAACCTGACTTCTGAACGCACGTTGGATATTCGAACCAAAGCCCTTCGTAGTCCGGCATGATACCAAGTAAGTTAACAGCGCGCCCTTCAACTGTGGCTTATTCACATGAAGTCCTTAAATCCAAAAAGTTAGCACACAAGGTTATTTATCGTCCTTCGATCTCACCCCGTGAAAGCTTTGAAATGATAACAATGATCATTATCTTAACCGTTCTATTCAGTCGTATCCATTATCTCATTAATTCGCGGAGAGAGAGAGAGAGAGAGAGAGAGAGAGAAAACAGCACAAAGGTGGAACCCACTGGACCACTA